TTTCTCCCATTCTTCTCATCACATCATTTCACCGCCACTGAGACCAAGGGTTTCTTTCTCTCTGAGTAGGAAAAGCCAAAGGCACTCACCTTCGTCGTTCAACGACCACCTCCCAACCTCCGTCCAAACGCCACCGCGATGCGCGAGAGGGGAACACACTCGCCTTCCGCTGCCACCGGTGACTGTCTCTGCGCCACTGCCTCTGCGAACCAGCCACCACGCCACCACCTCTTCCGATCTTGCCGCGAACCGCCATTTATGGCGTCGCCAGTAACGACGCATGCCGCCGGAGCCGTCGTCCGCCAAGGCACCAGGCCTCCTCGTTCTCTTCTTCGCGCGCGAGGAAGAAACTCTCCTTCGTGAAACGCCTCCTAGGCGAGCTCGGCCACCACGCCGGCCAGGGCTCCACTAGCATCGTCGGTCATCGCCAGGGCTGCCTCCGGTCACCATGTCAACGTCCTCTCTCCTTCTTTGCAGGTGGCGATTGTTGTCAAAGAGGCTTGCCGAGACAATGTTTGGGGGTTTGGAAATAAACTGAGGCATAGAGGTTCAAATTCTTGGTTTGTTTTGGCTTGTGATTATTGTGATCAAAGGGTGATTGGGGTTAGATTTTTGTTCTTGCAGACGAATGGAATTGGATTTATGCGATGGATTGGGTGTTTACAACAAGAGTAGAACTTCATTGCCAATGGTGGCTGAAGAGAGTAGTGGTAAATTTGTTTCTTAATCTAGCATTGAATTGTGTGAGGGAATGGAAGAAACTGTAGAAATCGGAAGATGAGTAAATGGTTTATTCAGGTGTTGAACATAGTGGAGAAGATAACCGTGATGTATACATACACGGTTTGGAATACTCAAGCAACAATCACACACAAGCAAAGCATAAAGCTATTCTAACAACGATTGTAAATTGGACGTTACTTGCTTATCTCTTGGAGCTCCTTCTCTATTGTTCAACTTTGGGCGCCCCCCTCGGTTGTAATTTCTTGCCAATTTTTTTAGCTCTCAGACATTGTGCTTTCTCTAGGTTACCAGTGATAACGGAACTGGACAGATAGTGGTTGGTTTTGAAGGTGAGAAGAGTCGAGATTCCCCTTCCCTTGTTCACGCTTCAGATCCAGCTTAGAGTCAAAAGCCTGGCCTATCAAATGGTTGCTTCCTGCCACACAGACTCCTGTTCTGCTCCGCTAAGACAGTGTAGGTGCAGCATGCATGGCGAGCAGAAGATTTGCACCAGAATGGGAGATGGCGTGGAAAAAGAAAGCAGATGCACCAGAATGGGAGATGGCGTGGAAAAAGAAAGCAGAAAAAGTTGACCTTTGTCATTTTTTTTTCTTTTTGTCTAGTTGACATTTGGCAAATAAATTAAAGTAAAAGAAGACAAAAACAAAATAAATTGACTAAAAAAAATAGACTAAAATAAAACATAATGAAATAACTCTAAAAAAATAAAAAAATAACCGAAATAAGATTAAAATAAAATAAGATACAGTATATTAAAATAGACTCCAATACAATAACTTAAAATAACAAAGTAAAATAATTATAAAATAAAATTAGAATAACATAAAATAAAATAAATTTCATCAAAACTATATTATTTAGTCACCCGGATAAAATTGGGTATTGATAATATGTTTTTCCATTTCATAGTTAGTATTTGAATTCTATGCTTAATGTTTGTTGTGACTTGATCACTCATTGATTGGTTTGTGATTCTTGATGTATTGGGAAATATGACTTGAACCTAAACTGCATACCTAATGGAACTTGTATCTAGGGATAAAACATGATTCTTTAGTAATCTTAAAACTCTTGAACTTAATGCATGGTTGCTTGTTGAAGATTCAACGAATTGGAACTTCAAGAGTGATCATAGGCTCAAAAGCTCTAGGGATAGGATTTAAGTATAATATTGAGTTCATTTTGACATGAATATGGAATTGAGATGTTTGTAAATGCATGAGAATGAAATGGATGAACTCTAATCTTAACAAATATTAAATAATTTGTTATATTTTCTTGCATACCAACTATTTTACGAAAATATCAAAAAGAGTTTATTGTGTTTTTTTGAACTTTGTTGTCTAATTGAGTTATTGAGTGCAACATTTGTCAAGTGGTGCACAAGTCCCTTGGAAGATAATGATATCACTTGCTACGTTGTGACCAGTGAATTTACCGTTGGTTTTGCAGCCAACAAAAGCCCCTACAAAAATTGGCACTCCAAAATACGTAAAAGGAATAAATCCTTGATTACAAGAGAGAAGTCTTTTGAGATATCTAATGAAAAAAAGCAAAAGCATCAGTAGTGTAAAAGTGACTTTTAATAGGACTCACCAATTGACCAAAGAAAGTGTCATATTCATACAAGAAAAATTTCAAATGATACAATGTTGTAGTATCTTCTCTACAAAAAAACAAGTATACCATCAACATAGAGAGTATGAGAAGGAAGTTGTATCCCTTGAAAACCAACCAGGAAAGCATAAGCTTCTTAAAAATAAGCTTTGAAATTCCCCTACTCAAAACCTCCTCGGCAAAACAGAAAAGCAAAAGAGAGATGACCCCCTTGTCTAGCCCCTCTACCATAAGTGTAGTAACCAACCAAACCACCATTAACCTCCATAGAAATATACGCATATTGCAAGATATGAAGAATTCACATAAAAAAGCCTTCATGAAAACCAAAACAAGGCAACACTTGAATTAAGGAATTCCAATTGATGATATCAAAAGCCTTGGTAATATCAATCTTGATAGCTACATTACCATCTTTGACCATTTTAGATAGAATATTACTAGCTTCAGAAGTAATACAAATACAATCTTTAACACTCATTCATTTAATGGAACCATTTTTATTAGGGGAAATAATCTTAATAACAAGCAACGCAAGTCTATCAGCTAAAATTTTTGTAATGATTTCAAAACGAAAATTAGTCACTACTATAGGACAAAAGTCAATTATACGTTATGCCTGTCAACTACCTTCAAATTCATAGCAGGGAGAATCCAACCCTGGCAAAAGAATTGTTGGACGACTTTACTAACATCAACACCAACAATGTCCCAAAAAAAGTGATGAAAACATCTACCAAAGCCATCTAGACTAGGAGCACTATCAGAATTAAGAGAAAAACTAAATTCTTCACCTCATGAAGATCAAAACATTTAATCAAAAATTTATTCTCATCATCATTAACTAAAGAAGGAACATAAGAAGCAACAAAAAAAATCATAAAAGTAACATAAATAGCAAGATTAGTAGGAGCAACATATAAATTAGTATAAAAAGAGAAAATAGAATCTTCAATCACTATTGGATTAGAAATGACTCATCATGATACAACTTAAAAATACCCTCTACATTATGCCTCTTGCAAACCACAACATAAAAAAATATAGTATTATTATCTCTTTCTTTAAGCCAATTCATTTTAGCATTTTTCCTTCTAATAAATATCTTGACAATCCAAAACATAGTTTATATAATCTTTTATCTTGACCTCGTGAATTAGCAAAGCATCCAAATGAAATGGAGAAGCATTCAAAATTTGTTGTTGAATATTAGAAAGCAAGTCTTGATTATCCACCACCAACTTATGTATGTTTCCAAAAACATTTTTATTCTAATCGTTCAAGGCAACTTTAAGATGTTGTAATTTTCTTTGCAAAATCAACATAGAACAACTAAAAGTATGAACACTTCAAGAGCTATTGACAGTGGAATGACAATCCATATGAAACATCCATATCTTTACAAAAAAAAGAAAGGATAGTTTGGAAACCTTAGCAGAATGAGAAACAAAAAAGAGTAAGGGATTTCAGGGTAAAACATTAGTACAAGAAGACGAATTCTCAAGACAAGAAAAATTACAAAAAAACTTTATCAAGTCTTCTATCAATGCGATTTATATCTCTCCAAAAATTTGACCAAGTGTAGTAAGACCTAAAAGATGAAGCTGGAAGAAGCTCATTAGAATTTGTCCAATTTATAATTTAGCACAAGAAATTGGACTAAGAGCAACACCACTCTTCACGTCTCAACACATAAAAAAACATTAAAATCACCAAAGATACACAACAATCATGAAGATGAACAAGAATAGATCACACAAGTAGTATTAATGCATAGTAAGATTTATATGGACTAAAAACACGTAAGCTTTTTGAAAATTCAATGTGCTAATGCACATAAAATTTGCTTCTTAAAAAATGCATAAAACTATTTATTTTAAAATAAGCAGATTAGAGGGGGCAATCAGAAATCTGCTTATTTCATCAAGAAAATTAAAAAAAAAACGGATCAAATTTATTATAAAAGATGGAAGATAACGTTTGTTGTTTTATAAGAATTGAGATTAATAGTAAAAGTATTTGCTTAATGCTTTATCACACTTCTTCCATAATTTTTAATGTTTTTTTTAATTTTAATGTACAAAATAAAAATAAAAACAATGATCCTGATAAAATAGTTATCCACTTTTTTTTTGTCTTTTTCGTAGTTATATCACACTATAGGTATATAAGTATATGAATTAAAATTAGGTAAATAGCATATATATAATTAATAAAAAGAGCAAATAATATTACTTTTAACTTTAAAAATGACAATTAAATGTAAACAAAATAAAAAATTCAAACATGAAAAAGAGTATTAATCTCTCCACTACCTTAATAAAAATAAACTCGTTTAATGTCCTTAATTATAAATAATATTCAACACTTACCATGTAAAGGAGTATAATAACAGAATTCACAATTAAATATAATAAATGTGTTTTCTATTTTTAAGGCATTACATTCATTCACCTTTTTATTTAACATTTCAGGGACCAGATTTGTCTAAAATCATCCCGAAATTATTATTAGATTTATTTGTTTCAATACATAATATGTTCATGTTATTGACGTTAATATAATATTAAGGGTTTATGTGGTCGTGCCCACTCAAGTACAGCAGTTGCTTAGTGCTAACAATTATCTTCAAAAAGACATTAGGTTTTAAAAAATGAATAAACTCATGCACTTGTACATGAATAATCTATAATCAGATGAACTTTACACAAAATCCGTTGCTTACGAACAATGTGGAGGAGAGCATCAGCGTTTCTCCCATGTAGCTACGGCATTGTTGGGGTTTGAAGGACAGCCTCTTAACCTTGTTTGTAATCAGTAAATTTTATTAAATTTCTGGTCGTTCAAATTATCAGCCACGGATCCTTGACATGTACCACACAGCTCAGTAACATTATTCAAGTAAGTTTTGAATTAAACCACCCAGAAAATTTAGCCAGTGATAAGATATTATGATACATTTTGTGTATCAATCCATGGCTAGGTTCCTGGATGGAGGTAATCAACCAATGGTAATCTGACAATGTCGAATTAGATAATGGCTCTAGAAACTCACACCTTTCTAAGATGTCTGGTGGAGGAGCTCCATCAACTAGGTTACCCTTTAGCTTTGGTCTACCATTGGTTAACTCGATGGGCACATTGGCCGAATGACTTTGAAGATTTGAGGGAGAGGCACCTGGGATCACCTCTTGCTTAAAGGGGAGAGCTCTGGCAGATTGCAGACAAAACTCAATCCACTGATGGATTAATGGTGACGGCCCTCTCACACGTCCACCAATCCGAATTGTTTCAATCCTAGATGCAGCCGGAATTGCCTGGGAAAACAAAAACAAGGGTAAAAAACGGTGGCAGAAAAAAGTCAACAATCTCCTTCGGCAGTACTGCGAGGGTGCCACTAACAGTTTTCCATTGCACATAATTTCTTAAAACCATGAATCTATCAGATATGAAACCTAAAATGCAAGATACAGTAAGAGAAATACCCAAAGATCTGCCCATAAACTCGCTCCAGACTTTGGAACAACAACAGCAACATTAGACAGGCGTTTAGCAGCAGGAATAATATCACTACTCCATCCAACAGCTACCCAAACGTCTCCAACTCCAAAAGCTTTTAGATAGTTTGAACTATCAAACAGTCGAACCTACAGATATGTATAAAAAGGATAGAAACTTAAATTATTGTTTGAAAAAGAAAAAAGAAAAGTATTATGTGTCATGTATTGTTTTGTAAAGTTTTCCACCGCTGTTCCAACAAGAAAACAACAGCATCAGTAGAGAGATCACTCAGTAACAATACCTGTTTCGCGAGCAAAGCCAAATTATGTTTAACAGCGTCTCTCCCACCATTGACTTCAGCATTGATGTCAATTGTATTATAGGAAGTCCCCATATACTTCAAAACTGCACCAACAACTTCTCTAGGAGAATCAATCATTGAAATCCTTCCAGCTAGATCAGGCCGCCAAAGATCCGCCCAGTCCTGTCATTTCATTTTATATACTCACATAACACTCTACAAGCATTTCACACTAGCCACTAAAAACAACGTACCTCTACAGGAGCCAACTTATGCTCTTGAAATTTATTTGTCTTGTATGCTATTACCATGCAGCCCCATCGATATGGAGCAGCCCATGTATCACCTTTAGGATCTATTTCTCCCTCAGAGTTCCTGCGTAGGTATACCTGGAACTTTGTTAGAGAGTGTAACGTATGCTATCAAGATACAACCCAAAAGGAAAACAACTAACTTAACATTGTATACCTAGGCAAATGCACTAAAAATCAAGAAGATATATAATACACTTTGATGACAACCAAGAAACACTCCAATAGAATAGTAACCAACAAATTTTGTGTAGGTAGAATTAACCTCAGGGATAATCAACGTGAATCAAGGAGATGTATAGACCAGGTTCTTGCTATCATGACAATCTAAGATACATTCCCAAAAGGACAAGTAATGGGTTGAGGTGATATATTTATGTTAGTAATTACAAAATCAGTGTAGTGATGTCTCTGCACTGCATAAGAGCTCATTTTGATAAATATCCAGGTAGCTATTACAAAATACAATGGCTACTCTTCCGAGGTTCAAGAACAAATAGCTGTGTCAATATGTATAAGCACTACAGATAATAGTGATACTTCTCTGTCCTAGACTACCTGTACTCCGTTTCACTATTTTTACCTGTGATAGCTGATCCATTCTATACTTCCTAAGAACTTCAAATGTTTTCTATTAACCCTATTTCACATTCAGGCTTCCACCTTCTGCCCCAAAATTATTTTTTTATCTTGAAAATATGAAATAAAAAAATTTCATAGCAACAACAAAGCCTTGTCCCCCTTTTATAGTCTAGGTTAGAATTTTTTGGTCAAGATCTTTTACTCCACCCTGTTAAATAGAAGAAACATATTATTATAAGATCGAAAGACCACTGAATTTCATTGAATTCAAATGGAAGAAAGGAACAGTTGGCTCAATTAGCGAAGGTAACAACTGTCACAGGACTAATCCCTTGCAAAAGACATGACCTCTTCATAACCATAACAATCCCTTACTGTCGTCCAAACTTCCCTTTTCTTTCCCCACAATCCCATAATCTCATTCCCAACAACGCTCCTCTGTGGTAGTGTTTTGCATCCTTTTTTCCTACAATTTCCTTACTCCACTCTTTTGGGCTGTGCCTATACTGTTATCCCTTATATAGTAAATAACTACATTTTACACGTACCCCTACAGTCTCTTTCTCAAAATAAGGTATATAGGTGCTCTCTCTGCTATGAAAGAAACTCAAATAATCTACTGTGATACAAATTATGTCAGTTTAGCACAAACATAGAAGTATGCAGACATAAATGAGCATACTACAAATATGTCACATTACCAAGTGTACACAAAGCATTCAGACAAGTGCGATATCTTGGTTTGCAACTATATGATACATGCTCGATTAAGTATGCAAAAACATCAAATTTAAGATGAAATAAGTTCAAGAAATCAATGTTTTGGTGATAAAAAAGCATAAGACCAAATCTTGAGAGACGAGCTCGAAGGTGAAGAAAGATACAAAATATAGTGTTACCTTCCACTTGTCATTTAAGCTTTTAAACCACTCCTGATCTTCTACATCTCTTATTGGCTCAATTATAGCTTGTTTAATAGCATATTTGAGCCATGAATCGCCAATACCAACAATATCTGCTGCCAAAGCAGATGCTGGCCCAATTTTTCCTTTAGTAAAGGGAATTGTTAGGTCAGAAAAGATGCTCTCAAGACTTGCATAATACTTGACGTTAAACTTCATTCTCCTCCCTTGACAATTTATAAAGTCCTAAAAATAAAGAAAAATTAACATGACATACTATTAAATAAGTTAAAGCAGATATAGATTAAATTAATCGAAAACCTATAACTTGCTTAAAATAACATGGTAGATTCAAAGGACCTACAATATGAAATTGCGTATATTCACCCAATGTAGTTAAACTCAAGAATCTATCCAGACTCAGAAAGGGGATACAAAATCATAAATCATGAAAACGGAAACACAAATTCTACTGTACATATAAAACTCAAATAAAAATATAAGTATGTATGTATATGTGATAACATAACGTAAGAAAAAACACATGTAACACACCAAATAGTTAATTAAGCGTAAAAGTATAATCATAGATCAATAAGCATATGAAAGTCAATGACTAAACCCCGTACAATAGAAAACCCAACTCACAAGTCATGAATGACAAACAAAGAAACTTAAAATATTGTAGTAGTGCCAAGTTAACTACTCCTAGTACAAAAACACAACACTTGAAATCATCATAATCACTCGAGATCTCATTTCTTCCACTGAAAGAGAACCATTCAACCACATAAACGATGTAGTAGAAGATGCAGATGAACCAAACAATGATTCTAACAACCTCAAGGATGTTTAGTTTATGGAGGAGGAGGTTCACTGGGAGATACAATATCAATGAGACTTGAGTCCAACCAGATTGATACCACTCTCTACCCAAACCTTAAGGCAATAAGTTAATTGATCTTCAATCTTATATGGTATTCTACTTTCTCATTTTTACTCAATGTGAGACTTAGACTCATACTTAGAATTCTAACAAAGGATGACAGAGGAGAGCTCTAGTTGTAGTGATTCATTCAACATTTTTGGGGTTCGGTATGAAAGGAGGCAGATTTTGTGCCAGAGGTTGAAGAAGATGCAATGATGACAGGTCAGCAAAGGTGTTTTCCTCTGTTATTAGTGTTGCGCTTACAAACAAGTTGGTTTCGGGGCTTGGGTATTTTGGGCTAAGGTTTACAAAGTACAAAACAAAGAAAAAAGAAAGGAACTTGGCACAGCGCAAAAAGGTTGGCACACAAAACATGATCCACACAAACTCAGAATACTCTCCAATTCCACTGCTTTTACAATTCAACATGGTGAGTCTACTTATTTTGCTAAGCAGCTA